TTCATTGTTAGTGGGAGTGCAGACTGGTGCAACCACTGTGGAAATCAATATGGAGATACCTCAAAGAACTAGGATTGGAAGTCCCATTTGACCCAGCTACCCCTCTGCTGGGTATCTTCCCAAAAGAATTAAAAGAATTATATCACAGTGATATATGTGCACCCATGTTTACAGCAGCAGTTTATAATAGCTAAAACTTGGAAACAGCCCAAATGCCCATCAGTTGGAGACTGGATAAAGAAGATGTGGGGGTTTTTAATAAAATGGAGTACTGCTCAGCCATAAAGAATGAGAAACTAGAGACATTTATAGCTAAACGGTGCACATTGAGGCCATACTCTTAAGTGAAATAAATAGGACACACATGTGTAAATACCAAATAGTTTCTGTGGTGTGAAAAACTAAAAGTGTAAATAAGGATCAAAATGTATAATTGATAATTGTGTAACAGGAAGAAAAGGTCTAAAGAAGTACGGGGAGTGGGAGGGGTAGGGGGAAGGAAAGAAGGGAAAAGAAAAAAATATGAGAAACGGAAAAAAATCGAAACAGTCTTTGTAAATAGGGAAAGATGGAGGGGGTGAAGGGAGGGCAGGGGAATGGGGAAAAAATAAGAACCCAGATACATCATGTAAAGGCACAAAATCCCAATGATGAATGTAACTGTATTGTATACCTAAAATGTACCAAATAACCCCCAAAAAAGTGTTTTGATTGACTGTTTTTAAATTGAAAGGTGAAGTTTGTTTGCTGATGTGAATGATCTATTAGAGAGGGAAAAAATTAGTGATGCAAGAAAAAGGAATTATTAGTTACTAGAATGGTGTCTGTGAGGTGGCAAGAAGAAATAACATCCATTATACAGGTCAGGGAATTTACATTGTAACTTAGACAGTTCATCCATGCAAGTAAAAATAATAAAAATAGCCCACACATATCTAGTGCTTACTGTGTACCAGGCACTGTTTTAAGCATTATACCTTTTTAAACTCATTTAATGCTCACAACAGCCCTATGTGGTAACTATAGTTACTATCTCCATATTTAAAAGAGTACATTTGGGTAGTCCAGAGACATTTGTTAGCCCTCCATTTAAGGCCATGGAGCTAGTACCTGGTGATGCCAGGATCTGAAACCAGCCATTCTGGCTCCAAAACCAGTATGTCATATTATAGAGTACAAATTTTGTTGTGGAAGCCTCTGAACATCTTTTGAGTGCTTCTATTTTCATTTACTCAGGTTCCATCAAGGTTCACACAGTGCATTTAATTTTATCTTATAAGTTCATTATAATCTAAAAGACCTCATAGATTCTTTTCCTTTGTAATATTTGCCTTTTCAAGGGAATGTCTCACATTTCTAGTTTACCTATAGTTTCTTGTCTGTATGTTTCCTATGTTTGCAGTAAATTGGAAATTAGACTAGTTGTTCAGTTAGATTTATATCAAATGTTTTCCGCAAGCATACTTCATAGTCAATGTTATATCTTTCATACTGTATCGCCTCTGGGGCACTGGGTGTCAGATTGACCCACAGATGGCATGGTTAAGGTGATACAGTACCTGCATGGCTCTTAGGCTCTAGGAGGCAAACTCAAAAGATTCAGATGAATCATCCTTGGCAGTCACACGTATTCGAGCCTGGAACCACAGCAGGGAAGTGTGGCTGTTTCTTTCCATTGCAGGACCTCACACCCAAAATATAAATAAAGAACAAAATAAAAGATAGATAGTAGGAAATAGACCTTTTGCAAAAGGGAAGAGTACCAAAAGATGAAGGGGGTGGGGGGAGACCCCACATCAGCACAGCTAATATAAGGAAGAGAGACCAGAGTACACCCCTGCCTGGAAGTTCCAGGTAGTAGAAAGGGAACAAGTATCTTTTCAGCAGCCCCTACACATAGCTTCCAAGTCTCTTGATAGCAATTGTAAGCATTTAGAGACTTCAATCAGTAGTGACTTTTATGCTAAGTAGTTTTGCTGAAGTAATACAGCCATAAGTTAACTGAAGATCAAATCTGTCTTTAGAGAAGGAAAGGAGTTTTGTGAAACTTGTACTTACTGGTGGTGACTATCAGGTCATTATTGTAAGGATCAGTGGGTTTTCTTTTTCTTTTTTGTTGAAATAGTCTTGTGATATAGCCCAGACTGGTCAGCCTCCCAAGTGCCAGCTGTTTTTTCATTTTGCAGATGAGGTTTTTTTATGTACAGAGTGTTGAGTTTATATATTCAAATTACTTAATTTTTTTTCTTTGTGATTTTCAGTGTTTTTAACGTAAGAAAGTGTTTCTATTTAACAAGTAGCTATGCCTTTGTATTTTCTCATAGGGTTTTTTGTTTGATATTAATATTTAACTCTTAAGTCCCCGTGCATTTTTGTTTTCTCATATATCATGAAATAAAGCTATAACCTAATTCTTTTTTTCCAGAATAAAACACATTGTCCAGCACCAGTTGTTGAATAACCCTTCTTTTTTCTACTTCAGAAGTACCAAGCCATATTGTTCCATTGTCTTTGTTATATTTTGTACTGATTTTTTGATTATTTCACTTGTGTGTATGTACAGTGCTTGGGGTCAAACGAAGGGCCATGCTTATGCAGGCAAGCACTGTACCACTGAGCTGTACCCCCAGCTGTTTTGACTTTTATTACTCTTTGTAAAGATTTCCTTAAATTACTTGTACCATTAATAGATGTTGAAATTTTTCAAATGCTTATACTCCATCTATGAAATTACTTGATTTTTTTAGTTGATATTGTAAATTATACATTACTTGAAGAAATTTCTTCCTTACAATATTCAGCAACACCATCCAAAAACATTGTATTTACTACATTTATACCCATAGCTTTCTTTCAGTAATACATTTTTTCTCCTTTTAGTTTTGTTTGACACATTTATTGCTGAGATTATTTCAATATCTTGCATTTTTGTTAATAAACAGATTATAGCTGTTCGTCCTGTAATTTCTAACTCTTTCATGTTTTGTTGTGCCAGGTTTAAAGAAAAAATCAATGAAATCTGCAAAAAATGCCACATCTCCAGAGGAAGAAATTGAAATTGAAAGACAAAAGGTAAATGTGATCATTGTTACATGCTTGATAGATAATTAATATGTAGAATTTAAATGAACTTGCCACATGAGTTTCCAGTGTCCCTATTTTTAAAAATAAATTATTTTAGGAATGAAAGTTATATAGGATACATAATTAAATATTTTAGCAACATAGTTTTAAAACACCACCTTTTTTTTTTTGGTATGAGGGATCAAACTCAGGACCTTGTGCTTGCAAGGCAGGCAGCGGCACCACTGAGCTAAATCCCCAGCCCAGAATACCATCTTTTTACCAAACCTCATTTCTCTAACTAGTACAAAGTTAAAATTTACCTTAGGCCCAAGGTATATCCCTTTACAATTAAGGGGAAAATTTCTCGTTAAAAACTTTTACTGTAACTGAGACAGAAAATACTACTATTAAAATCCAAAATAATATTACCATAAGCTTTATTTTTATCTGAATCTGCCCTGTAATACATATTTTTCTATTATGGTTTGTCAAATGGTAATATCTCTTTTTATTGTGAGCAATATAAATTTAATGTACAAATCCAAAGCCTTCACTGGAAGTATGGGGAACCTTAGCTTCAATGACTCCAATTTTGGAGTCATGGACATTTTTGCTGAGGTAGAAATTGGAGTCTGCAGTTCCTCTCTGGCTGCTGTGCACAGCACTGTCTGAGAATGACTGGCTACCTGAACTCTGACTCTTGATGCGTCTTTATATTCTCCACTAATTGCATGTAAGTTATACTCATGTAGTAACTTAAAGAACAACAAAGAACATCTTTCTTTGTGGAAAATGGCTCTAAAAAGAGTCACATGGAAGTGCCAGTGACAGAAGTAAAAGGAAATAAGTCTCAGGCGGTAATAGAGGAAAGTTTACAACGGGTTGGGAAGCATACTCTGTATTTCCTCTAATATACATAGTTGTTTACTTCATTCTGAAAGAGTTCCCCTTTAATCCTATGACTGAAAAAAAATAGATCTATTTAGTGAAAACAGATTGTACTAGATTTCATAAGTAAATGGTAAGATTCTGATTTTATGGAAATGTATTGATACTGAAAAAGAAAAGGCAAAAGAAAGCCAAAGAAATTCTTGTTCAGAATACACATCTGTAAAATATAATGTGTAAGGGCCAGAGATTTAGCTCAGTGGCACTGCGCCTGCCTCACAAGTGTAAGGTCCTGAGTTTGATCCCCGTTACAAAAAACAAAAAAAAATATAATGTGTGAGACATTAATATTTGCTAGTTTAGAGTTACTACTTAAAAACAGCAAAGTAAAAATAAAATTTATATTTGAGGGACCTGGGGACTTAACTCCTACAGCCTGCTAGCCAGTTACACTAAGTTAATTGAGGTCTGGTTTTTAAATACAAGCTACTACCTCTCTCCTGCCCCTGTGGCTGATATTCAAATCAGTATCTCAGAATGGGCCCAACTAGCTACCTAAAACTATACATCTTAATGCATCTTTCTGTTCTCCATTTATTATATGTAAGAAATACTCTTAAAGTAACAGTGAGCAAAAAACGTTCTGTTGTACATTTGAACTATTTTTTTCTATGCACAGGCTGAAATGGCTTTGCTTGTGATGGATGAGGAGGAAGACAGTAAAAAACACTTCAATTACAATAAGATTGTGGAGCACCAGAATCTAAGCAAAAAGAAGAAGAAACAGCTTATGAAAAAGAAAGAATTATTAGAAGATGACTTTGAGGTAACCAAGGACACAAGGCATTAGGCCCTTAAAGGTGGAGCTGATTATAATATCAGCTCCAGAGATAGAAAGTAGGCATAGTCAAAGTTACCCTCACAAATGTCTTAGGAAGGGCCCATAGTAGAGTCAAAGCTCTCATCTTTAAGTCTAGTACAGTTCATCTCCAAGACAGATCATGTCACTCTTTCTTTGGTTGACCACTAGATAAAGTAATTGACTTATATTTTGCTACCTATGTTTTAACAAAAAATGTGTACCTTTTGTTAGAACCTTGTGTAGTGACCTTTACATTAGGAAAGATAGACTTAATTAAGCCCAATTGAAGAATAGCAGGTTCATATCACACTCACTGGGTACAGTGGCCAACACATTTGGCTGTGCTTTTTTGAATACTGCACATCATGTTTCTGTCACTCCTTTTTTCTGTTTTTACTTGGTGCATAACCCTAATGCCCATAGTTTTTGAGCCCTCTACAAGAACCTTACTAACAGCCATTAGGAATTACTTTGTAATTTTGGGTTTTTTGTTGGGTTTTTTTTTTTTTTGGTACTGGGGATCGAACTCGGGACCTTGTGCTTACAAGGCAGGCACAGAACCACTGAGCTAAATCCCTGGCCAACTTTGTAATTTTGAACAATTAAGGTGGAAGAAAAGACCAAGAAGATGAGGGAATTTGAATTTATCCAAACAGTAGAGAGCAGTGTACAGATAAGTCCTGGGTAGCTTGTAGAGAGTCTTCAGGGCCACTCATAGCTCGTTTGTATGAGTCAGTTTCATGTATGCTTCTGTCTCATTAAAGTTTTCATTGAACTGATTTTCTTATGAAAACAAATGATTTATAGCCAAATCGATTAGGAAATCTACCTTCACATATTAATTATGTGTAAAAATATTTTTCATGAGATTCTCGTTTTTCTTGGGCTTGTGTCTTTTGACTTCATTTTAACTAAGTAAAGCTACCCTCCACCTCCAAGTAGACTCACACTTATCCTTCTTGCTGGTCACATTGTGTTCCTGGTGACACTCAGGCCTGGCTGGAGTGAAGGGTCCATTCCTAAGTATGGAACCACATGTTTTTATAGAGAGAAGATAAATTTGGGGCTTGCATCTGACCAGATCTTGGTCTCAGGGGTGAATTCTTTCCCACTGGGGTCTTTAAATCTTTTGATCTGTAAGTTACCCTCAGTAGCTGCTTATTCTGGCACCAGTGTTAAAGTTTATTAAATGTTGGGTCCGAGATATAGCTCAGTGGCATTGAGCTTGCCTGGCAAGTGCAAGGTCCTGAGTTCGATCCTTGGTACCACACACACACAAAAAAGTAATAAATGTCCTCAGAATGCAGTGTGACTTTGCATAAAACTCTAGCAGGAGATGTCCTGATTGGCTTATTTATGCCAGTCAGAAATCAATTTGATGCTGTAAGCAAGGGGAAGCCTTGCCTTGGGAACTACTCCTATAGTCAGTCAGCTGAAGTAATCATTGTAGTTATAAGCCACTATATTATATATATGGACCACAATAGTTCCCTTTCAGGTAGATTGCGATTGTGAAGTAAGAACAGAACACCCTACACATGTGGTCCAAGTGTAGGCCTTAACAAGTCCAGTGGAAATCTGGAAAAACAGTTTTTTGTGAATCATTGAGAAGTGCTCAGGGCCGGGGATTTAGCTCAGTGGTGCCGCTGCCTGCCTCGCAAGCACAAGGTTCTGAATTCGAGCCCCGGTACCAAAAAAAAATAAATAAGTGCTCAGATTTGTATTTTATATCACCGACAAGCACTTTTCTAAATATGTTCTTATTTCTGAGCCATTCAGTTTACTTTCATTTAAAATTTATTTTTATTAATATTTGCTGTTCATAATGATTACATTCATTGTGTATTTATTCCTTTTGAATTTGCAGGTAAACGTTAGTGATGCACGATTTCAGGCAATGTATACTTCCCACTTGTTCAATTTGGATCCTTCAGATTCTAATTTCAAGAAAACAAAAGCTATGGAAAAAATCCTTCAGGAGAAAGCCCGGCAAAGAGAACGAAAAGAACAAGAAATTATTCAGGCAATAAAGAAAAAAGAAAGCGAGATTGAAAAGGTATCTCAGAAGAAGTCTATTGATCCTGCCTTGTCAGTGCTGATTAAATCTGTAAAAAACAAAACAGAACAGTTTCAAGCAAGAAAAAAACAAAGAGTCAAATAACTGGATGTTATTTCTTTTTGCATTGATAATGTGTTCTAAAGTATACAGAAACAGAGGAGATATTGGGAATAAAGTCACCTTTTCACATAAAAAAATCTTTTTCTCATCATAGTAAAATTCCTTTCCATGTATACTTGTACTTAATTGTGGCTGATTGATGGAGTTGTGCTGTATATTTCCACAGATCTATCATAATTAAATTACCTGAATTACAAGGTTTATAAAATGTGTATATTTTATGAAGTTCAATTCTTACAAAAAGAAAGTTTCTAGAAATTAGGTCTTTAACAGATTGTTTCCAGTTCTGTATAAAAATACAACAGTATTTACTTGTAAGTCTGTAAATGTTAGAGATAATTTGAAAATATGTATATGTCATACATTCATTTCTCTGGAAGCAAGAGGCAGATTTAGATAGCTATTAAAATAATTTATTTTTCTAGCCATATAGAATGGAAGCCAGGAACTTTTTGTCGTTGTCATGTTTAGTAGTTTATGAAATTGATTTATAAATAAAAGTTCAAAAATTCTTATTATTTTGTATAACACTGATTTGTTTCATTTATGCACCTCATGTAAACTGTCTGGAGAAAAATAACCTGAAAATGTATCTTGAACACTTTAATTGAACAACTTCTTGAAAAGGCAGCTCCAAGTTTGCAGTGTTCATAATTGCATTTGAAATATTCGTGAGCTCTACGATAGGTTTTCTATTTGTAGCAGCAGAAAATTCTTCTATCTGTCCTTCACATTTTTGGAATACTTCAGAAAGGTGGATATGCTACTATAGAGTTTAAGGAAACTTTAATTCCTTTTAAAATTAAAATACACCTTCAAGGCCTAGACACTTTTGGATCTCATCTGGTATGGATTTTATAAACTATTAACTGACCACTTGGATGGGAAAAATAGATGTGTTATATATAAGTAAATGGAAACAACCAAAATAGTCACTTGGAACAAATTATAACCGTAGTACCTTCTGAAAGGCAGTAAGAGTTTGACTAGGTTTGTGACGAATAGTAAATTTGACATTTTTGGTATAAAACTTCAAACTTACCAATGTAGTGTTTTTTTGTTTTGTTTGTATTTTTTGGTACCGGGGATGGAACTCAGGTCCTCGCGCTTGTGCAGCAGGTGGCGAAACCACTGAGCTAAATCCCTGGCCCTATAGTGTATTTTTTAAAGAGAAGACAAAACTAAGGGTGATATCAGTGAGGAAGTTTAAACAGTTTCTGAAAGGAGAGAAAAATGGAACTTTTGAATAGCTCATTATAACAGAACAATGCAGAATATCTAGACAGAATTATGTCTTTATCATAAAACACTGACATTGTGGAGTTACTCAGCCAAAAACAGTGTCTTACTGTTACATTCATAAACCTCTCAGTATTAACTCATTACGAAGAGAGGTCATGAATCTTAATGTGTTTATGAGAATAGTCTTTAAACAGTTCAGTAATGCTTTATACTTATTTTTATTCAAGGAAAAACTTGTTTTCTAAGCTGATTAACCATAGGTAAGTACTTGGTTTTAAGGTTTCTGTGAAACTAAACCTTGTTTAGTTGGTTTGGTTTTTCACTCCAGAGCCCTTTGTTTTTAAATTGCTGCATTTAATTGTACAATCTGATTTTACTACCGTAATCAGGCACATAATAACATAGTTGATTATTTTAGGTAGAAAAAAATTAGAACAGTATCGTCACATGCTACATTATGCTAAATATTCTATGCCAAGAGCTCTAGGTTTTTCAGTTTCTGGTAGTAAAATTCAGGATACAAATGGCCACCGTCACAGTTTAGCAAACAAATGAAGGTAGTTTTGCATCTGTGTCCTGATTAGATCTTGACATTTGGGCATACAAAGATAAACTAGTTGCTTGAACCATGTTAGATGCTGAAAGCCTTCTTGTTCCTAAATGTATGTTCCAGCACATGTGAAGTCCAGCTACATTGCTCTTCTTGGTCATGGGTGTTTCCTTGAGCCTTGACTGTTCTGGTAATCTATTATTTATAGCCTCCAGAACCTCATAGCTTAAAACCACCATACTACGTGATTTTCTCAAAAATCTGCAATTTTTTAGGACTTACTAGAGCAGGTTCACCTGTTCCCCACATGGCATCAGCTGAGGTGGCTTCCCTGAGGGCTGAAGGATATACTTGAAGTTGGTGCCATCAGTGAAGTGGCTTGCAAGTCAGTGCTGGCTATTGGTGTGAGAGCATAGTGGCTGATTTCCAAAGGTGATGGAAATTACAACTTTTTATATCCTAAATCTCAGAAGACAGTGTTGCATGTACCACCTCTAAATCCATTAGTGAAGACAAACATTTCTTCCCAGATGAAAGGATAAAATCAACACTGTGGATCCAGGTGTTGTGACACACACCTATAATCCCAGCACTTAAACTGAAGTGGAAGAATTGCAAGTTTGAGGCCAGGTTGGGATACATAGCAAGTTCAAGAACAGCCTGAACTACATAGTGAATCTGTCAAGAAAAAAAATTCACCCCCTGATGGAGGGAGTGCCAAACGTCTAAAAGATTATACATGTCAAGAAATGTATTTACAATCATATTTGGAAAATAAGATCTGCCACACTGGCCATTTGATGAAAGTCTACCTCTTATCTTTTAAAAATCTATCAGCCCTCCTTATCCATGGGTTCTATATCGACAATGGTGGATGGAAAATGTTTTTTTAAATGTGTCTGTACTTAACACATACAGACATTTTTGTCATTCCCTAAACAATATAATAATGATTTATATAGCACTTATATTAAATATAATAATCCAGAAGTGATGTAAAGTGTATAGGAGGATGTATTACTATCAGTGGCATACCTACAGCACTGATGCCGCAGCGCACTGCATCATTGAAAGCTCTAAAAGGTTCTCCATCACTGGATAGGCTATCTACAAATACTATACCATTTTAGACAAAGGATTTGAGCATCTACTGTATCTACAATGAGTCCTGGAACCCATCTCCCAGGGATACCAAAGGACAAGTGCACATGACAGTAAATGTTCATTATTTGATATTGTCTGAGTAAGTTTTTATTCTTTGTAAACAAGATCAGCAGAGAAAACACTCCAACAACAGGGGCCACGGTACATGGTATTGCTGAGCAGGTCAGACCAGGAGAAAGAGTATGCATGGTCCCCAGAACTAGAAGTGTCTATAAATAGAAACAGTGAATGAGCCCCAAGATTTGTTATTTCATAGTAATAAAATCATTTAGTTGAACATAGGGCTTTCCATAAATAAAGATAATCCATTCATTATCCTTTGCAACTTGGTGTGAAAACAAATGACAACTTCTAGGAATCTTTGAAATCAGCACACTACTAAATTTTGCTTCTTGCTTTCTTCTCTCCTTTCACCATACTGCGGAATACAAATGTAAGAGCTACAGCTTCAACAGACATCTTGGATTCTGAAGACAAAAGCCAAATTCTGTTTTCTAGGGATAAGAGCAGTAAACTAGAGGGAGCTGGTCTTTGAGGTCTTTGTAAAGCAGAGCCACCATTTCATCTGAGGACTTTTGAAAAGACTCCACATGATAAGATAATTAAATCTTACTAGTTTAAGCCCACATTTTCTTAGATCTCTGTTACTTATGTTTTATCTATAGCTCAAAACAAAAACAAATAACAGCAGTATTGGGGTATATTCTTTGTGGACTATCTTGCTCTATTTTGAGAATTTCACAGATCACATTTCTCTGTATTCTTAAATACTTTTATTTTTTCTTTCCAATTCTGGAGATTGAACCCAGGACTTTCCCACCTAGCTACATCCCTATCCTTTTTTTATTTTTTATTTTGAGACAAGATTTCACTACGAAGCTGAGTTTTCCAAGCTGGGCCCCACTTGCAATCCTCTTGCCTCAGCTTCCCAGAATGCTAGATTAGAGGCAAAGAAATGCTATTACACTGTGATCAGATTGTTTCCTACTTGAAATTGCTGGAATGGGATGCTCAAAATGATAAGATTCCCATATTTCTGGATGTGGTCCTGAGTCAAGAGAAGTGAGGCAAACACCCTTAGAAGGTAGCTGGGACCCTTCTACAAGCACTGCTGGCAATAAAGTTACAAGCTATTTTCAGCATCTCTAGGTTCACATTATCACCTTCCTCTAAAAGTTTATAAAGGGGCAATTGCCAAAAGAAAGCCAGAATCAGGCACATGGGAAAATGAAAATGTGTGAATATGAGTCTGTGCCCAGGCTTAAGTGTGGGTTCTCCATTACCCAAATTTTGCCAAAATGTAACGATGAAATCTCTACACTGGTACAGTGCCAAAGCAAATAGACTTAACATATTATATTGTGTTACAGAAATTTGTAAGAAATGCCTGCTGTGGGTTTATGAGTTGTTCTCATGAATTTTTTAAGTTAAAATGAAATCATCATGTATCATACCTACACATGATATAGCTTGAGTAACCTGTCCTGGGTTTTTTGAAACATAAAGCCTGAAATTAATTAGTATCTTTTCTCTTAGACCAGTTAGAGTTTGCCACATCATCCTCCAAAAGTTTATCTAGTGAGCAAGGCAGGAAATGACTAATAGAGTGCATTATTAAAATTTTTTTGGAAAAATTATTAAACTAAAAATTAGGGAAAGACTAGTGATAGGTAGATTGACCTTAAAATAGTAAGCAGGTTTATTTTTATTTTTTTAGATGGAATTTCATTTTGTGCCCAGGCTGGTCTTGAACCTATAGGCTCAAATTATCCTTTTGTCTTGGCCTCCTGACTGTCTGGGAGTGCAGGTGCAGATCACCAAACCCAACTTAGAACAAGTTTATTCTGACAGCAGCTCATTAATTAACTAAGCATTCTAAAAACTATTTTTATTTACATATGTTCCTCTGTTTGAATCTATTATCTAGTCTTGTAGTCATGGGACAATTTTAAGAGTTCTTCTGGAGAACCGAAGAAGTATCAGAAACTACCTAGGAATTGTGTTTCTTCTTTGCTTTTGAGTAAGC